AAAAAAAGAATGATTAGTCGGAACTGGTCTATGAAATGTTTGTTTATATGGGTCAGCAAGTAATTAAATTGAAAGGCGTTAAATTGAAAGGCGTTGGCCACCGAATTTACTAATGAACTTTAATAAAATGGGCACCATTCTAGTCAAAATATGGTTACTCCTCCTCTTTTCTCCGCTTAAAACAGTGCTAGTGCACCCACTTTTCGCGCACATTACTTGCTTTGATACACGAGCTGCTTTTAAATGTCCTTGTTCTCGAATTTCTCTGACAGCAGTTTCACCATACGGTACTCAATACCTTGTCAATGTCTTGGAACTGGCTGCGAAAAGCTAGGAATCCAAAATTTACGAACTACGGAGATTTCACAACTTATGGATTAACCCACACGTAAGGAAAGATTTTAAAAGCACTTTTTTCCGACATATTTTTTGACAAAAATCGTTACATGTACAGATTTTCGGAAGAGCTATTCCAGTCTACTGAATCATTTGACTGCGAGGCTGGACAAGTACCACAGTTCAGTTCGTTAACAAAAATCACCTTGGCGATATTCAGCACTATATTTTGCAGCCGTAGGAAATATTCTGGACTTTTTTCACTGGAAGGGCTAAAAATCTGGTCTTTCCCAGAAATGTTTGAAGCAGCAATTTATAAATTTATTGTGCACTTCAGAGCTAAGAACGACAACAGGTAACAATTCTCGATAAAGACCGCAAAGACTGGAAGTTCGTAAACAAGCAGCTCGACGCTAAATTAAACGCGAACTGTAGGTTGGCACCAAAAATACCCCAACATCTTCCATTGCTCGATGATTAACACTCGTCCGCAGAATTTACAACTTCTCGCTCTTTCTGACCAGCATTTCCCACTGATATTCGGAAGGAGCTTGCAAATCCGTCGCATGCATCTTAAATAATTGGCCAACGAACGGGCTGCCCGTGCGAAGATGCGTTTTTTGCACAGTCCCTGGCAGTTTTTGTCGCTACCAGCACCGGTTTTTCCGGCAAATGCTTCTAACTGGACAAATTAAGACTGGCCGCAAGAACTGTCAGGAAACACCGCTTAAATTTTCAGTCTTCTAACTTTCCTGGCTCCTGAGTATGCAACTTACTGAAAAAAACTTTCACGGGCCCATACGCGGAAACCACGCGTATCCGATGTCTACGTTTGAGGACGTTGAGACTTACGTGGACGGGGAATATCCTCTTAGAGTCTTCTAGCTTTTTTTCTAGTCTGCTAGTCTGGAAACTACAGTCTTCTAGCTTTTCAGGTTCTCGAGTTAGCAACTTATCCGAGAAAAACTTTGGCGGGTCCATACGCGGGTGCCACGCTTACCCCAAGGCTGGCTTTGAGCTCACTAAAACCCACTCGGACAGGAAACATCCTACGAAGATTTCAGATTTCTAGCATCTCAAATCCCCGACTTATGAACTTACCCGAGAAAAATTTCACGGGCCCGAACGCGGATACCACGTCTATCCGGGAGTTGAGCTTGAGTACAGTGAGACTTAGGTGGTCGGGGACATCCCCTTAAGATTTCAGCTTTCTAGCATATTAGATCCCCGAGTTATGAACTTACCCGAAAAAAATTTTGGCGCTCCCGTACACGGGCACCACGCTTACCCGGGGGCTGGGTTTGAGCACAATGAGACTTAGGTGGACGGGGAATAACCTCTTAAAATTACAATCCTTTAGCTTTTCAAATTCCCGCGTTATCAACTTACCTGAAAAAAACTGTGGCAGGCTCGTACGTGGGTACAACGCCTACCCGCGGGCTGGGTTTGAGCTCATTAATGCCTACTTGGACGGGGAACATCCCCTTAAAATTTCAGTCTCCAAGCATTTCTGTTTCCCGAGTTAGCAGCTTACCCATAAAAAACTTTGGCGGGCTGTTACGTGAATACCATGCGGGTAAGATCGCCCATTCTGGGGGGTGGGGGCCCGTATGTGCATGCAGATTAAGTTCCCAAAGTTCCAGCCCTGTAGCTTCTGTAGTTCTTCAGATGAAAAATCGGTACAAAGGCCCAGCGCGCACACACAGACAGCCTCTCGTCAATATGCGTTTTCCGCACTGGACAGCTGCAAAAAACGCACAAAAAGCCGAAGCAGAATTTTTTCAGGTCACAGATCAAAATGCCCAGTCTCTGAATGCTTGAGTGTGTGCTGTCAAAGTTACTTCAGCCGGGAGTGAGCTTTATTCGCTATCGCATCAAATTTTTCTGCACGAAAAAGCTAGTAATATTTTTGCTAATTGTAATGAACGAAGAGAAGCAGTCAGCGGCACAACAGCCAAGTAGCACACACATATAATATTTCACCGATTTGAAACCAAAGGCTATAAATTAGCTTCAATTTCATTCAAACTAATTCACACCGAAATGCAATACTAGCTGAGTCCGTGGCTTAAAAAAGTTGGAATCAGAAAAGCAGTTTCTCAAGAATCCGTGTGAATTCACACCAGTTACTAAGTGATAACAGTAATGATAATATGAAATAATAATATTAACAGAAATGTGATAATAATACTAAAAGAAATAATAAAAGCAATAAAGAGACAGTGCTAAAATATACTGGAAAATCAAAGTAATAAAGCTCAAATGAATCTAAAAACCGAAAGAACACAGAGCGGGTTTGGACCCGTTATATCAGAACATCGTAGATGAGTCAGTGCACCACAATGAATCATGACGAAAGCAAGGGCAAGTAACATAAAGCGAAATGATACGTACTACTCTACGGTACTAAAAAGAATGTTGGGAACGAGAAAAGCCAATATAAAGAGAAATATTGGACAATGGAACATAAAAATTGCAGATTATGGCAAAAATTAAATTAGCCATATGACGCATCACAGGGCTCGAAGAGAACAAACGATGAGAGATACACCGCCTTTTAATTAACAAGTCATGTAAGATATACAGACAGTTCATCAGAAACTTAACTGCAGAAGAGATTTTTTTTTCAAAGACGAAGAAGAACGCGACATGAATTAATTGGACATTAAAATTACAAGGGGCAGATTAGGTCAGTATGTTCGTATCACTTTCAGTGTGACTGATAAGAAGGCTTTCCTGGGTCATTCTTGATTCGAAGCTGCTTTCTTCCTTGCGACCATAGAGATCGAACAAAGCGCTTCTTGATGGTGCAAGCGAAAATGTCGCAAAAAGAGAGAGCAGCAGCATTTCCGCAATGATCACAAAATTGCATATAACTGAAATTTCCCTGTCTTTAAAGAGCATTTAGCCATTAATAGGTTTCCCGTTCATCATTCACAGAGTTCTTACTGAAATCTGCTACAGAACAACTTGTATCAACTGAATCCAAAGTCCACTTACATCTAGCGTTATCAGGTGCAGAGAGCAGCGGGCCACATTTGAACACACCAAATCGTATCAAAATATTGTCAAAAATCATCGGCTGTTGAGCTGTGAAGAAAAGCAAAGCAATGTCGATAATTCGAAATATCGTCATAAACCCGTACTGACTCAATTTGTCCTTCAACAGTTGCTTGTTTAACGCCCAACTCTGTGTAGAAACTCAACAATACGAAGTATCATTCAGAAAAAAAAAAACCATTACCGAGGTTAATCTAGCCATTGTATGAACACCAAAGATGGCCAAAAGCAACGAGACGACCGATACCATTTCGCTGAGATGTATATATCTATAAACATTTGTAGAGTCTGGACAGTTCGCAAAGTGGCCATAGGAGTGCTGTTTAATAAGAGCATTAGTGGTAAATGAAATTTCACTATTAAAAAAGAGAGGGCAAAAACAATTTGTGAGAGATTAAGGACGGTACGGGCGATTAGCAAGTGCGCAAAAATGATAAAGGTAACATGACAGTAAAGATAACAATGGCAATATGAGAGTGAGCAAAGCCCTCGCACTGCTCAATACCACTAACCTACAACGAAGTTTAAGAACACCCTTCCAGAAGCTGTCAAAGGAAATTCCGAAAAAAAATGAACTGAAATTCGATAAATAAAAGGACGTTTTACTGAGCAATCTTTGTTGTTTGTCCTCAAAATTCAATACAAGATTCGATTGGTGCTGAAGAAAGCTAAACAAGAGATAAAACTGACGCTAACGTGAAACATAAACTGACGCTAATAATTCAGTAATTTAATCAGCTCCTATTTCACTGTCGCAATCGTCCGCGCCATTGAGTTGTGGCTGGCAATTTCTTTATGCACTATTTAAGCTCCCAGAAAACATCTGTTGGCTTCTGTCTTCTGAACGCTTGTTTAAAACTGTATGCAAAACACTCAATTACTTACTTTGCCCACCTATTTTCTCTCATTCTCACCTCGTCGCCAGTCTCGCTCCCCTTTCTGGTGTGCATTGCTTTGACAATATCACTTGCCAGACCAGAAGTGCATAAACAAACGGAAGTACAGTTTTGCTCAACGGGTATTCAACATTTAGTCGCCTCCGGATAGCAGTTTCAGTTTTTAAAGCACAAGAAGCAGATGGGCTACATACTAAAACCGCCTTATGGTTGTCTAAGTTTTTTTAACCTTTGTCTGTTAACAGTATGACCAAAATATCTAAAAATACAGCACATGATTCCTCCAAATCCGACTCAAATCAGCTGAAAGGATCAAACATGTCGCGAGACTAAGAGACAGTTTGAAATTATTATAAAAAGCTGCACGAAAAAATCCTGCATTTTCTATTTTAGTATAAAAAACAGGCTACTCAAATAAAGGAAAACAATCTTGAGATTTAAAAGATATCCATCTTGTGGACCTACAACGATAGAATTATAAGCAAACTGAACTTTCTCATTATCACTAGCAGTGCAACTAAAAGATGTCGAGAAAAAACACATAAAAATTGAAGTGATAAAATTTGCATCTAACACCGTCATTGAAAAAAAAAAGCAAACATGCTGCTGCTATGTTATTTTTGCCAAACAGAAAATGCGAAACAATATGTCCCAATGTAAATCCGGAATTTATCTACCTGTTGGCGGCTTCGCGCCATTCCGCAACTGCGACCACATTGAACGCAACAATGATTGCTCGAACCACTGGCGCCTGAAGTACCATCCATTCCAGGTGCCGCAAATTACGCCTGCAACCTCAGCTGTGAGTCACCGGGAAAGACAGCTCAATTAGCACAACACATAACTAACTGCTTGTTTTGATATTCTACTATTTGAATGTTACGTAATTTTTTATCCTTTTCTTCTTCCTTTATTTCAGAAGTTGTAATGCTCTGACTGACCTCTGATAACCTCCGCTAGAGTGATGCAATCGTATAACCTTTTACAAGGGAAACCCCTCCATCTTTTTGTTGCATGCATTCCTCTACTTGTTCAGTGGCACTCTCTGTTCTGAACAAACTACAGTCCTATTCTTCCTCCTTTTTTCATTCTTTTGCATTTCAATTCTGAATTGTACTTCTCTTATGATGTTACTTTAATAAATACACTACGGGGTAGGTGGTTGACACACACTAATCCTAAGCACAGGTATAGAAGGCGACATTAAATACGAGCAGAAAACAAGGAACTCACACAGTGCTCTTAGCTTTTGGCAGAAACGGACAACAGCAACAAAACGGCGGGCTCTGAAAATCGATTTGCTTGTTGTCGAAGAGAAGTGTGGCGGAGAAGGCATCCCGACTACCGAACAAATGCCGGATCAGTGAAATAAGCACAAAAAGACACGTAAGGAAGTAGAGGACACCGAGCGAAGCCATCACCATTGACGTGCGTGGAGATATCATACCCACGTAACAGCACATCGTTGACACCTGAACCCATTTCCTGTCATTTTTAACTAATCCGCTATTACATATTAACGTAAACTGCAATCAGAAGTATAACAACTACGGCGTTTATGGGGGGGGG